TGCACGAAGGGTCTTTCCGTGCCATGTTTTGATAATTATGCACGAAGGGTCTTTCCGTGCCATGTCTCTAATTATTTATGCACGAAGGGTCTTTCCGTGCCATGTCTCTAATTATTTGAGCACGAAGGGTCATTCCATGCCTTGATGTGAGAGTTATGTGAGGAAAAGCACGAAGGGTGATGCCGGTGCACTATATTTGACAGTTTTGGTGAGAATTTAGAGTAAAAGCACGAAGGTTGGTGCCGTGCAGTTGTTGATTCACTTGCTCTCTTTCATAGATGCTAATTATTCAGTTTCCATCTCTCTGTTCGTTGGTCTTATATCTAAATTGTTACACCCCACAGCATGTCCCCTCCCTATTATCTGTTTAAATTCTGTATATCTTTCCGTTGTTGCATATATATCTGTACAGGTTATTTGAGGTAGGTCCGGTCTAGCCTCGTCACTACCTTGTCGGGGTTAGGCCAGGCACTTACCAGCACATGGGGTCGATTGTGCTGATGCTACACTTCTGTGCCCTTTTTGTGCACAGATTCGGGAGTGGCTTACGGACCGCAGTAGTAGATTGGGAGCGTGCCTTCAGTCTAGAGACTCCTAGGTAGTTCGCTGGCGTGTGTGGGCCCTGAGTCTCATGTATTTTATTTCTGTTTGTTTTCATTGTATCGAAGCAGACTCCTTATGTATTTTCTTTCAAACTCTTATTTGTAGTATCTTATAGTAGTCCGTGAGTATTGTGACACTAAACCTTGGGTAGAGGATGATGTTAATTTTTCCGCATTTTCATTCATTTAATATTAAATTAAGGCTTCCGCTTGAATTTATTATTTTTATTATTATCTTGTTGAAAATTAGTTGAAAAGGTATGTTAAGGTTGGCTTGCCTAGCTCCGACAGTAGGCGCCATCACGACTCCCGACGGTGGGGAATTCGGGTCGTGACATGATCGTAAATTGAATCGTGACAAAGTTGGTATCAGAACTTAGGTTATTCTTGTGACTAATGGAGCACACGTCGATAGTAGAATCTCAATTATGGTTATGTAGCCGGCCATTCCTATAATCGTGATTCTGCGAGGGCGTGATAGGATGTGTCTTGTCTTTCTTTCTTATTCCTCCGTATGTCTGTCGCGATTAGGGTCAGATAACTGAATCTATCATTACTTATCCTATTCGTGTATGGCTCGGACCAATTACCCTATAATAGAATTTGGCTAGAGGTTTAAACTTCAAAGACGTCAAATTTTGCCAATGGACATGCAACCATCTCCAAGCAAAGAAATGCTACATAAGTAGTATACAAGACCAGTAAAAGGTTCATTGTGCCGTATGAGGTGCTTTCTAGTAAGATGCATAATAGGGTTCATTTCGAAAATTTATACTAGTCTACTACTACAACGATAGAGGAGTGATATCACAAAAAGAAAGAGATCTTTATGGATATAATAGATAAACATGAGAAGAATGAGCAACAGAATAGGGGCTCTAAAGTCCTCATGCACCTAGAAGATTATGGGGAACAACAAAATATTCTTAATAAAGTTTCTAAAGTTGAAACTACTAAGTTTACTATTTCTGATAGTTCAAAGGATCCTTAAAGGTTTTAGTAGAATACTTACCACGTTATAAGCTATAGGATATTTCATGAAGAGGTCTATGGAACAGGCAACTTTTAGACTAGAGAACATAGCGAATACATAAAATGCTATTGTACTTTTAGAGATGCCAACAAGAGCAACACAACTAATTTAGGAATAAATTTCACTAAAGTGTTTATGAATCACATCCTTCTTGACAGTTTGTGACGTGAACTTGCCTGCTAAATCATTTAAGAAATTGATTTAGACGTTGGGTATACTTACATATAACACCAAACTTTCTCAGCTGGATATGCAAGCGACATCTTAAGTTTAGAGGCTTGTTGAAAGGTTGGTTAATTGTTTAAATAAGATAGTAACTGCATATATGAAGACTTGAACCTCTTCTTTAGCAGTTGCATTTACCAGAAATGGACATGATAGGCGTGCAAGAACTCACGTAAGAAGATTGAGATTAGAATATCTTTTAGTATGAATGTTAATATGAATCGAAGATTTAAAAATCAAGAATGTTTTGAGATATTAAGTAATCCTTTTCAGGTTTCCACATCAATGAAAAATTTATAGTAGTTAGACATGTGTTTAATACTTTTAAGATTCAAGTTATGAGAAGGAAACCCTATCTAACCAAGTTGTACTTGATATGATTGACTCCAAAGTACAGATGGATATGGATTAATTATCTTCTTACCATGCTACCCTCGATTACTGTGAAAAGAATATTAGGTTTGGCAAACTTTAAAAACTGGTTTTGTCCAAAAAGGGGATTATAAGTTTTAGATACGAGCAAATTATATTATTTGAGTTAACGGTCATAGAAGAAAGGTTGTTTGGATCTCATAGGTACGGTAAGAGGCACAAGAGAAGAAACACTTAGTTTGAGAAAAAAAAAGGGTATCATAATGAGAGATTCCCTAATGTATCCCTAAAGATTACTAGGACTACCTCCAATATGAGAAATAGACTTCGGGTATTAAGCTGATACCTGACACGCAAACTATATCATATGGCACCAACAGAGTTGAAGGAGCTAATTGAATAATTGAGAGACCTACTAGATACAAGTTTTATCATGCCGAGTGTTGCACCATGGGGTATACCAATATTATTTGAAAAACGGGGGGATGAGTCTTTAAGAATGTGGGCCAACTACAGATAATTAAATAGGATAACAATACACAACAAATATCTCATGTCTTGTATTGATAACTTGTTTGATCAGTTACAAGGAGCTGTTGACCTTTAGTCTGATTATCATCAGCTTAGAATAAGAAAGGAAGATATTTCGATATTGCTTCTGTACTCGGTACAAACATTATGAGTTATATGTGATGTCCTTTAGATTGGCCAATGCTCCAATTGCATTGATGTGTATAATGAATATGGTGTTCAAAGTTGCTTTTGGAGAAAATATTCATAGTTTTTACTTACTATATTCTCGTACCCAAGAAGAGCACGAGAATTACTTGAAAGTTATGTCAAACATGTTGTAGGAAAATCAACTTTTTTCCAAGTTCTTCAATTAGCTGGACTCGATGGTATTCATAGGACACATGGGATCTAAGAATAAAAAATATGGCAGATTCTAAGAAGATAGAAACAGTTCATAAATGGCCGAGATCCATTTCCCCTACAGATATTACTTTTGGCTTGACAAGCTAATATAGGCATTTGTGTAGGATTTTTCTAGAATAGCACCACCACTCACCAAGTTAACATAGAAAATCGCTAAATATTGGTGGATGGAGAAATGTACAACGAGAAAGCATGTTTGACAATCACACTAATATTAGCCTTATTCTAATAGGCTCTAGAGAATTCACGATGTTATGTGATATTTCGAGGGTAGGATTAGGATATTTTCTCATGCAAAATAGTCGTGTGATAACCTATACTCTAAGGAAATTGAAGAAGCTCAAGTCGTATTATGCCATTCATGATTTGGAGATGGTCATATTGGTGTTTCGTTTTAAGATTTAGAGACACTATTTATACGAAGAAACCTATGAGATTTATACCTAGCACAAGAGCCTGAAGTACATTTAAAACCAACAGAGATAAATATTTAGCAATGTTGATGGAGGGAACTACTAAAGATATAATTGTATTGTTTTGTACTATTCGGGAAAGATAAATATTATAACTTATGCAAAACAAAAAAAAACTATGGGTGATTTGACGCATTTAGCTTCTGTATAGATACTTCTGGACAAAGATATGCATAGACTAGAACGTACACGTATTAGATTCAATGTAAAAAAAATTCAAAAGACATTATTGGCTATTGGTCAAGCCCGATATAGATGTATAAAGGCTAGCCAATACGAGGATGAGCGATTATTTAATTACCGAGATTAGTTTCTAGCTGGTAAAGCAAGCATAGGATTGTTAATAGTGAGGGTATTCTCCGACTAGGTAATTAATTATGTGTAGCAAACATATATGGGTTGAGACAAGCTATTCCTGATGGAGCTCACAACTCTAGATATAGTGTATATCTCAGGTCTATAAGATGCACCATGAATATAAAAAAAATTGATTGGTTGGAAAAGAAAGAAGGAAAAAAAAATCGCTAATTTTGTTTCTAACTATTTGACATGTCAGTATGTTAAGGCAAGGACTTGCGACTCACAAGCCCACTAAAACAACTCAAGATTCTAAAGTGGAAATACAATAGAACAATACATATATGACTAAATTACTCAAACCATTAGAGGTATGATTATATGTGGGAAAGTTGTAAATTAACTTACCAAGTAGGAACATTTCTTGCTAGTCAAAACTTCTTATAGTGAGGTAAAATATGCATAGATATACATGAACAGAAAATTATCTAACTCAATAGAGCTCTATTGTCCATCAGTTCTAATAAACTATCGCATTCACTTTATGATTTGAAAACCTTTTCAAGAAAGGTTAGGTACACTAGTAGATCTTAGTACTAGTTTTATCGCACGCAAACACAAAGTCCAAAGGTGCTATATAGATCTTGGAGGATATGTTCAGAGAGTGTATTCTTAAGTTTGGAGGTAGTAGGGACGCTTATCTATCTTTAGCTGAATTTGCTTACAACAATAACTTCCAGTACAGTATTCAAATGGCATCGTACGAAGCATTGTATGGTAGAAGATGTCGTTCTCCTATCGGATGGTTTGAAGCTGGTAAGACTAACTTATGGGAACCCGACTTAGTACAAGAAGCTATGGACAAAGTCCAAATAATCTGATAGAGATTGCTTACAGCTCAAAGTAGACAAAAATCTGATGCGGACAAGAGAAGAAGAGGTTTAGTGTTTACAACTGGAGACAAAGTGTTCATACAGGTATCTCCTATGAAGGGCGTGATGTGATGCGAAAAAAGAGGTAAGTTGAGCCTGAGGTTTATAGGTCAGTACGAAACTAGACTGAATGGGAGCGGTGGCTTATCGTTTGGCACTTCCTCTTGAGTTGTCCTTTATTCATCCAGTTTTTCATATCTCAATGCTAAGGAAATATATATTAGACTCATCTCAATTGCTTGAAGCACCTGTTACGCCGCTTGATGATAAGTTGTCTTACGAGGAGGAGCCAATGGCTATTATTGATAGGCAAGTAAGGAAGCTAGGGTCAAAAGAAATTGTGTTCGTTAAAGTGTTATGGAGAAATAATATAGTTGAAGAATTTACGTGGGAAGTAGAAAAAGATATACAAGCAAAGTATCCCCATTTATTTCAATCCACAGGTACGTACTTAAATTAAATTTGGGGACCAAATTTCATAAGGTGGGTAGGATGTAGTGACCCATATTTAAGTTAGGGTGTGTTGGTCTTTTAACATAACAAAAAAATACAAGAAAAGAAAAAAGGAAAACCTAATCAATTTAAAAAAGGGGCAAAATCCCATGATACAAATAAAGAAAAGGGAATTGGGGGAAAGGGAAAAGCAGCGTTGNAAAATAGGTAATATAATATTCTTATATTTTGTTTTACTAATATGAGAGTATATAAATTTAATAACTTGAGTTATATAGTGAGATTGACTAATATAATTAGAAACAAAAAAAGATTAAGTAATCATTCCCTAACTCATAGCACTTTGTGGAAGAATCATGGGTGACTGTAGAACACTTTGTACTGAAGATTTAATTTTTTAAAACAAATCAAATTCTTAATGTCTTTGTATGTAGTAATATGAATTAAATATGGGAATACACATAGAAACAAACACAATTTGTTAAAGGCATTCTTTTTAATTCAAAGGATAAACTTTCTTACTTCACTTGCTTAAGTTTATCTTATAGGTGTATATAATTTTGTTAGGTATGAAAGAAAGTATTGTCGATAGTGATCCTATATGATTTAGATATATACACATAGTTGGCATAATTTGGGTAAAAAGAAAATTGAAAAAAATGAATAAATATACGAGTAACTTGAAATTGATATATTATAGACTAGTTGAATTACTCATAGCATGGATAAATATAATTCAGCGAATTGATGGTATAACATAAAACTCTAAGGATTTGGAATCTAAATTTAGCTATGAATTAGCTTAAGTAAAGAAATTAACACAAGATCGATATTGATGTGATTATAGATTGATTGAAGAAGGTCGTACAAATCGCTCGAGACGACGAGTTTTGTATTTCGACACGAGTACTGTGTGAAGTAATCTTACCGCAATTTGTGTTTTCATAACCTGCATGGTGTATACATTATTTTGAAAATAAAATGTGTTACCGAATATTTGAAATTGCATGTGGGACAAGTCCTTTACTTGATATAGTATTGAATAGTTTACTTGAGATGGTTACAGTTATTTAAAATGTTCTCACTGTTACTAGACATGTTTTACTATTATTATAGATATAATTACCGTTACCGAAATTGGATTACATGATTTGATAAAAAAATTAAAATGCCCTGTACTGTTTTGAAAATGTTTCCATGTAAAGATTTACTGTTTACAAAGAAAAGTATAAAAGGGAGGAGACTTTAAAGGATCCCGTAGCTAACGACGAGTTCGTTAGACTTGGTGCACCTTGTATTTATTGATTACCAAGTACAGTTAGAGCCCTTGCTAGTGGGATTGTAAAACTAGCATACAGTTACAGTTTTTCCTCGAGTAAGGACCTACAATTATATTTGACTTCTTTTATGAAGGTTCACACAATGACATTACATGATCCTTTTCTGAAACCTCCCAAATATAAAGATTTGCTATGACACAGTACTTACCGAGTTTATTACTGAATTGTTAAATTTGATTGTGTTATAGGAAACACATGATGAGACTGATTATTATTACCGTTTTAAAAAGGGCACTTGATTTTGTGATTATTAGACAAGCATGTTTTCTGACTTGTCCCCTATTAAAAACAGTTGTGGTTAAATATTATTACTCACTGAGCTAGCGACTCACTCCCTGCTATTTTTTTTTATAGATAAAGCAGTTGACGCGAGCGAGGATTTTGTTAATTTGAGTATACGAGTTGATAGTTCCTGGTGAGCTCCGCACTTTTTCGCGTGGGCGAAGGATTTATTTATTTACTATCGTCCTTCCTTATGAACTCTTAGAGTTGCTCCATAGTCATTTTTATTAGCGTCATGAGTATTCATTCGTTATATTGGACTAGTTACTACTATTGCACTTCTTTCCATATTTTTGAAATGGGTTTGGTATTATTATGATTATAAGGTTGGTAATGATAGTAAAAACTCATTTTTGGTTAGTTGATGAAGATTATGAATGATTTAGGTGCATATTGGTTGGTTGTGTTGGTAATTTCTAAGACAAGTTTATTTTTGGATAGTCCTAAAACGGGGGAAACTCTGTCCGATTTTCTGTAGATTACCGACGAGGCTTACTTGGGAGCACTTGTTCAGCGCCTGTCATGATCCTAAATTGGATCGTGACACCTAGATTGCTTGGTGACTAGAAACAATAGAAGGAGAGAGGGTGTGGTCGTTGATAGAACCTCCGCTCTGATACCATGTCGAGATTTCAGATATGAATCGAGCTCTGCATCTCTTCCAATAGAGGATTCAGAAGCTTCTAAAAGGAGCTCGTAGAGAGAGAGAAGAGGAGATGCTGAGAATTTGTTAAGTTGTGAAATGAAAACTATATTCAATGTATTGGGTACAGTTCAATATATACATGTGACATTCACTAACTAACTGATTTGTACACTAACACTAACTAGTGTTGACTCAGCACAATTACAAGAAAATAAATATAAGTATTAGTCTTAATAGATAAGCAAAGGTGATAAATAACTTTTGTTGTTTTTTAGTGCTTCAGTTTGAGAGAATTACTTTATTTTTATCACAATAAACTTACAGTACACAAACATAACAATTCTCAGAATTTATGGGATTTTGTTTTTTGGGAGGGGGAGGGGTGGAAACAAAGGAGCACCTAGGATTGGAAGGTCGTCAGTGAATTTTTATATTCAATTAAACTTTCTTGTTATATAGGGTGTCGTTACTAATTTATCACCATTATCTAAAAACACATACATATTTATATGAAATTTTTGCCGAATTTTTCGGGTGACCCCTCTTTTTGCAACATAGGTCCGCCACTGTGGGGACGCAGAGACTCTTAAGCCTCTTTATTACATCAATCTTCTATCTTTAAGTTATATTCATATGGACCTTGTAAAAGTACACAAACGGGAGAGAAATGGAGGTGGATCTTGATTTAAATTTGATGAATTGATCAATTTTAAAGTCCTAAGATCAAATTATAAACTCATTTTACTTTAAAATTTAATATTTATTGGAAGTTCACGTCAAATTTGCATACATATATTATATTTTGCATAAAAATATTAGGTTCGGTTAAACCCATAAACATACCTTCCTGAATATATATGGGGTAGCCGGTAGCCCCAGAACTCGTTCTAAGTTCTAAAGAATAATAGCAAAGAAACAACCTTTAATAAGCTGCGCATAATATTAGTTTTTGTTATGAAATAAAAGCAATTTAGTAAAACATGAACAAGAAATAAAGACAATTTAGTAAAACATGAACAAGAAAGAGATAGAGAGAAAGGAAGAAATTTTCTTCTTCAATTGTGTGTATTTTCTTATCTATTACAAAACCTTTATATATGCATGAAAAGTGAAGAAAATATGTCATGGAATATGTCATTGAACATAGAAAATATGTCATTGAATATGTCATTAACCATTTGAGAGAAAGATCATGGAGGAAGAGTAGACATCCACCATATTTTGATTTTTATCATAACACTCCCCCTTGGATGTCCATAAATAATGTGCCTCGTTAAAACCTTATTAGGAAAAAATCCTATGGGAAAAAAATCCTAATGAAGGAAAAAAAGTACACATATTTAGAAATACGCATTTTGGTTGCCTCGTTAAAAACCTTGCAAGGAAAACCCAATGGGAAAAAACCTTGGAAGGGAAAAAGAGTACAACGCGTATTAACTCCCCCTGATGAGATCATCAGTTCACATCGTTGAGCCTTCCTATCCCAATCTTGTACACTAGTTTCTTGAAGGTTGACGCCGGTAGATATTTGGTGAACAAATCAGTCATATTATCACTTGAACGGATCCGTTGCACGTTAATATCACCATTCTTTTGAAAATCATGTGTGAGCAATAATTTAAGTGAAATGTGCTTTGTCCTAATTCCTTTATGAATCCTCCCTATTATTGGGCCATGCATGTTGTATTTTCTTCATACAAAATTGTGGGTAGTTTATCACACTTCAAACCACATTTGTCTCGAATAAGATGTATAGTAGACCTCAACCATACACATTCTCGTCTTGCTTCATGAATAGCAATTATCTCAGCATGATTAGAAGAAGTATCCACAATTGATTGCTTAGTCGATCGCCAAGATATGACAGCGCCACACATGTAAACACATAACATGTTTGAGATCAAGCCTTGTGTTTGTCAAATAAATACTCCACATCGACATAACCAACCAGATCGGTATTGCAATCATTGCCATAAAATAAGCCCACACCGGTAATCCCCCTTAGATAACGCAATATGTGCTTGATTTCATTCCAATTTCTCCTTGAGCGGAGCTATATCTTGCTAAGACATTAACTGAAAAAGTTATGTCATGCCTTGTAGTGTTAGCAAGATATATTAGCGCACCAATTGCATTAAGATATGGTACTTTAGGACCAAGAAGCTCTTCATTATTTTCATGAGGTCAGAGTGGATCTTTATTTATATCGAGTAATCTCACAACCATCGGGGTACTTAATGGATGTGTTTTATCCACATAGAAGCTCTTTAAAATCTTTTTAGTGTATGCTGATTGAAGGACAAAAATTCCATCTTTCATATATTCAATTTGTAGACCAAGACAAAATTTTGTCTTTCCAAGATCTTTCATTTCAAATTCTTTCTTTAAACAGTCTACTGCTTTAGGAAGCTCTCCGGGAGTTCTAATGATATTTGAATCATCAACATACATGGCGATTATAACAAATTCAAATCCATATCCTTTTATAAGGACACAAGGACAAATTGAATTATTTTATACCATTCTTTCAACAAGTACTCTCTCGGGCGATTATACCACATGCGCCCTGATTGTTTCAATCCGTATAAGAATTTTTGAAACTTTATTTAATAAATTTCTTGGAAACCTTAATATGTTCCAACATAATTTAAATCTTTCAATGATATCCACTATACGCATATCAAGTTTTTCATATATTGCCAGATTAAAACCTGAAGTGACTATATCCACTATAAGAGAACATGTCTCCATATAATCAATGTGAGAATATTTACTAATTTTCTTGTGCCACAAGTTGTCTTTATGTATATCGACTTGAACCTTTCGCACAAGAACACATTTATACCTCAATTGACTTTATACTTTCAGGTGTTGGACTATCCGTCCAACTTCACATTTTTCAAGTGAAGTCAATTTCATTGCGTATTTTTTATTTGGCCAATCTTTTATCCGTCCAAATTTCATGACAGATTTGATCTCAAGATCCTCGTCAATATTAATCATATTGAGCACTACATTATATTAACAATATCGTCGACAATCATTTAATGTCGGTTCCATTATTACCCAATAAAGACATAACTTATTGAGATCTCTTTATTTCATTATTTTCAAGTACCTGAGCCTCTCTCATGAGGCCTTATGAAGTGTTATGTCGTGGTGCTCTTCTAGGGCACTTGCCTCCTTATTATGACCATTTTGAATATTTGCCCCTCTCCTTCTTCAAGGAGTTTTATCTTTGGAACCGATTGGTCTGTTACACTTCATGCGTGCCATAGACTCTGTCCCTCATGGACTTTATTCTATTTGGAGCATTAGCAGCTGAAATATGACATTTAGCTTTGGGTCAGCAAATGCGTCTGGCAATAATTTGTAAATGAATTATCACTTGAACTTCAAGTTTATATTTTCTTGTACGAGGATCTATATGTATTCATAATAATTCATTTCACGTATCACTTTCTCAGCTGCCCATTTTCTCCCCCTAATGTTGGGATCACCAACACATTTCCCAACCATCTTTGGGAACTCATCTTTGTGCATTTTGGTGGCATAATTAAATCATATAACACATCCATATTTCTATATAGAAATTATTTGGTTCCTGATCCTGAACCGATTGTGATAGGGAGAAATTTTTATAACTTGGCTAGATGCGTACAAGTGCTGCTGTATATTAAATAATAAATCTCATACCAAATTTCGTTTTTGGGAGTTTTGTTCTCATAACCAATGATTTAGCTATAATTGGAGGCATACAATTTCTGCTAAACCAACTTGGATTTAAACCAGTATTATTAAGATAAATCATCATAATTTATATTCTGGAATTGTGCTCTAATAATTTGAGCAAGCAATCTTGCAAAAACCAAACTGCAAGTTGATAACAAATGCACATGTGACCATAAAATAGATGCATCTATTAAAATCATATAATAGTAAACGGTCCACATGGCAGGTGACTGGGCCCATATATATATCACCTTTTATTCCTTCCAGAAATCAAAGGATTCAATCCCAACCTTTAACTGGTATATCATGAGAATAACCAGCACAAGAAAATTCTTGAAGAATCTTCTATTCTTCAATATATGCCAATGTAATTCTTAATTAATTTTTCGCATCATAATTGAACCGAGATGGTCAACCGGTCATGCCAATTAATATTTGTTTTAGTAAACCTCTAGTTTACTTGTGGCATATGATTCCAGCATTATGCTTATATTTGTTTAGTACAAAATAGAAAGAAGATCGGGTAACTTTTCATATTTACCCGGTATGATTATAGAAATACGAAGATATTCAATCTTCCTTTCATTTATAGTCTCAATATGCCAATCACTTTGACTTATATATT